CTCTAAATAATGGCCGCCGGTTTATGGTTTTCGTCAGTCTTATGTCCTTCTTCTCTAACATAGTTTTACTGTTTTTTTAATGAAAGTTTGGTTTTAAAAAGTTGGTCCAAATGATCGTCGGGAAGAGTTACCTCCTTTATTTTTTTAATTACATAATTATATTACTTAGCAAAGATTTTTTTATAAATAAAGAAAATTTTTTTTCTTTATTTCTATAATTTTATCGCTTAAATTAAAACACAATGTACAAAAAAAAAGGCAAAAAAACCAGTTCTGATACCTCTTTAAACTTTAATACTTTGCAACGACCTAAAGAACATAGAATATTGACTACATCAGCTTCAACATCGTCGTCCACATTAGCATCGTCTACAGCTACATCGGTATCAACTTCAGCCTCATTGTTCGCATCAATATCATCCACATTAGCTTTATCAAAAACTGTCACATCACAAAATAAAAAAAGAAATGATAACCTTCCAAAGGAAGTAAGTTATTTTTATTATTATTTTTTATTATTATTCTACGTATCACTTATTAATATAATTTAATACAACCTTTTACGTATATACTTAGCCACAAGTTATTATTCCAAAGAAAGTAAGTTATTTTATTATTATTTTTAGTATTCTATTACTTATTAATTAAATTACCTAATATAATTTAATACAACCTTTTACGTATATATTTAGCCGCAAGTTATTATTCCAAAGGAAGTAAGTTATTTTATTATTATTTTTAGTATTCTATTACTTATTAATTAAATTACCTAATATAATTTTAATACAACCTTTTACGTATATACTTAGCCACAAGTTATTATTGAACCTACACCGTTGACTACTACTACTAGAAAGACTGCTATTTCTGAAATTTCAAGTTTGTAAAATAGTGTTTTCTGGACCTTTTTTTTTTTTTTTAACCTATTACTTTATATTTTTATTTAATAGCTTGAGCTGCCATCGATCCGTGCATTATAAACAAGGTTCTAAGCATTATACAGGATAACTCGGTAAAGCTTGATCAGCTTTCAAGGAACTGCGCAAAGCTGGAGTATTTAATTAAGGAGCAACAAATGCAGCTTGGAGAGGTTTCAAAAAAATTCGACGAAACTGACGAATTAGAAACAAAAAAAGGCAACAAAAAAAAGCCTTTGAAAAATACAGAGGATATATGTTTTCAAGTATGTATATATATTTATTTATAATAATAGTTTGTCATTTATTTATATGTATTACTATGCATATTACTATATATATTATATATCATATTATATATAGAATGCAGCCCGAAAATTGGCAAGTGATTTATTTCATAATCATGAGCAAATTAGTGACGAACAAATAAAAGAGCGGCTTAAGGCATTGTTGGAAAATAATAAAGAATGTTCAGAAAAACTACAAAAATTAAAAGACAAAGGGGTGTCATTTAACAAATTTTGGAGTGAAAAACTTTATTCTGAAGTACTTACTATCTTCGGTCAATTTTACTTACGTGATGCAAGGAAAACTTGCAATTCTATATTAGAATTGCAAGTTTTCCTTGCGATGCTTATATATAATTATTAAATATTAATTGTATTTTATTTATTTAATTAATTTATACAGATGCTTGCGGCAATTCGGCTTAAAAAAGGGTATTATATTCGACGTGTGAAAGAAGGTTTATGGAGCACCTTTGGTGTTAATCGAATAAAACCGTTTAGCGAAAAAGACTCAAAAGCACAAATGTTAGAATGGAAAAAAAATTCTAAAAAGGCGTACAATGACTTATACAACCCTTGTGATCCGGATGATCCGAATTCTGAGACATTTCTGTCTTTAATCATTAAGTATGTTTTTGTTTCTGATGATGAATGTACACAAGCTAATGCGGTTTGGACACAAGCTGTTTTAGAAACTATATTCGATGAGGAATATCTTTCTCCAAAAATTGATGCAGATTATGTCGATACATGGATTCAAAAGCTGTCGAACAATGAGAAAGAAAAGGATAATGAGAATGTATGTATATTGTTTATTAATGAGCTTACCAATTTTTTTGAACACATTTTATTTTATTTTATTTATTTTTTTTTTAGGATACTGTTTTGCAAAAAGGTT